TTTTTTTCCCCTGGAGCTGAGGACCGAACCCAGGGCCTTGCGCTTGCTAGGCAAGCGCTCTACCACTGAGCTAAATCCCCAACCCCTCTCTCTGGTCATTTGTTAGACCACAAGTCATATATGAGAGCACTGGGCTATCATGGAGCATACAGATCTCATTCTAGGTAAGCCAGTAAGTCACAGGTTAGACGACTGGTTAAAAGAATAATTTCTTGTCCAGGTAAAGACACCCACTGGGGACACTCTTAACACTTCTCTTAGTAGCACTATACAATTACTTTGGTCTCATTCCAATCCCTGTTATAAAGGTAGAGAAACTGAGGCTTACGGAGGTCAATAACCTAAATGAAATCATCATAGTCACATGGCAAAATCAGAGTGAAAACCAAAAGAGCCTCCATTGCACAGACTGCCCCTGGCCCAAAGGGACCTCTTTAATGTCAGGTTTTAGTGTGAGAATCCCCCCCCCCCGTAGAAAGGGCAAGGCTTTGGGGAACTTGGTCTTCTTTTGGGGGGTCATGGCATGGATAGAGCCTCTCATTTATTCACTCAACAAACGTGGAGCAGTGGGGATACCACGATTTGAAGTGAAAGAAAGTGCAGAGAAGGCAGTTAAAGATGAAGCAAATGCTTAGAGCTTGTGCCAAGTGCCCCAATGGAGGCAGGATCCTGTGGTGGCCCGTCGGAACCAAAGCAGGTAAGAGGGGAACCAGGAGCACTCAGGTTTGTCTGGGACAGCGCATTACAGACACGTGACATCAGGCAAGAAGAGAGCCCGCAGAAGTAGGAGGTGGGAGTGGAAGGCTTGCCTCCATCTTCCCGGACTGAGAGACCCCGCTGAGTTCTCAGTGGATGCTGCCGACCCCATGTGTATGTTTTCTAGCCCTTCAAACCCTGCCTTGCAGCCCAACAGAGAGAGACTCATAGAATGGCCCAGAAATGGCCCCACAATCTCTAAGAGTCTCAGTCTGAAGATGGTGCATAACTAAAGGTGACCAATGCCGTGTGAACCTGGTGCTGTCATTTCCCAGGGGAGTAACCTCGGCCCTGGATGCTTGTCTACACCACTCTCTTTCAGAGGGTAGTCATAGGAACATTGTAAATGGTCGGTAAGCAGGAACTGAGGTTATCAGGGTGAAACTCAGGTGACCAAGGCTACCAGCATCCATTCTAGCGCATTTCCCTCACGTTCCAGGTAGAGAAAGGGGCTTGCCCCGGACCACTGAGGTATGATAGGTTTAGAAACAGAACTCTCACCTACAGTCAACACCCTTAGCATAGCATCACCTTTGACCTTCCAGCTCAGAGCTGGGGTTTCCACCACACAGTATGCCCATTCATCTGCTCTCAATTCCTTGTTTCTGTAGCTTAGGGCTTAGCCTCTCATGCCCGTGTGTACCCCACTCTGACATCACTGGCCCCTCTGCTGTTTACCGCTTGCCATTCCCACGGCCCAAGACAGCCTTCCTTGTATCCTCTGTTCACTCAGAGCTCTGCTCAAACCTGCCTTCTACAAAATGGTACAGTGTGCCGTAGGACAAGGTATAATGAAACAGAGCTGGTTCACATTCCTAAGTGCTGTGGCGGTATCATGGCGCAGCTGGGCTCTTCAAACCATTTTCTACCTCCACTTAAAATGTCTTACAATAAATGATTTCAAAACTCATCGCACTATATTACTGTCTATTTTTTTTCAGGTGTTAAATGTGTCTATAACGAACTCACCTTGTGGGAGAGGGGCATAGGTCAGTGCTTGAACATGTATTTAACAGATATGAAGTCCTGGGTCCCATCTCCAGGGGAAGGGAGGAAAGAAATACAACCTTACCTGTTCGCTACATCATTCTCTGTTTATGCATATTTTATGTCTTTCCAAAACAGACGCTTTCTTAATTTTTCTCTCATCCTTTGTTTACATTTTGGCATTTTTCAAGCCAGGAGGTCCAAGCTGGCCTTGAACCCCCAATCCTCCTGCCTCAGCCTCCCAAGTGCTGGGATTACAGGTGTGTGCCATCACACTTAGATCAAAATAAAGGGGGTTTTAAATGCTGGCAGGACTGCTCAGTGGTTAAGCACACTTACTGCTCTATCAGAGCACCAGGGTTCGGATCCCAGCTCACACAAGTGCAAATAACTCCAGCCCCACGGAGTGTGATGCTCACTCCTGGCCTCTGTGGGCCTGAACACACACTTGCACAAATACCCATACACCAACATGCACAAGAAAGAACATACAAACGTTTTTAAAAATTTAAAGAGCTGATCAGAGGCCTTCTGGCACCATCCATCCCCATCCCACCCCACCCCACCCCACATGCCACTCTAACAGTCAGCTTGCCTCTATTATTCTTTTTTTTTTTTTTCCCTAAGACAGGGTTTCTCTGTGTAGCTTTGCACCTTTCCTGGAACTCACTTTG